GGAGTCACCATCCCTGGAGGTGTTCAAAAAACATGTAGATGTGGCACTTCGGGACATGGTTTAGCAGGCATGGTGGTGTTGGGATGACGGTTGGACTTGATCTTGGAGGTCTTTTCCAGCCTTAATGATTCTATGATTCTCCTTGAAATAATCCCTTTTCCTCTACTCATTCCTTCCCCTGGTGCGAAGGGACAGGCTGGGGGTCTCCAGCAAGGTGGTGACCAGAGAAGGTCGGTCTGGCTGGGCACACTGTGCCGCATCAGTGCTGGAGCCACACACGAAACCACCCCAAAACCCACCCGGCTCTGGGACCGGGCCTTCGAGCAGCTCCTTCCTAGCTCTGCCTCGCGCTCATCTGGTGTGGGGCAGCTGCAGGGACCGTGTCTGCCGGGAGTGGGAGGCCTGGGCTTCAGGAGCTCCAGATGCTGCGTGTCAGGCGGTTGGGTACTCTTTGTGATTGATGGGCCGAGAAGGCAAGCGTGAGAAAACAGATTGCGAGTGTCTGTTCCGTAGGCTAAAAGAGTTCTCCTCGGTGAAACTTCGCAGGCCGGCTCTTAGGAAGGGTTTGCAAACCTTTTTAATTTAAGAGGGGCCATAAAAAGCAAGGAAAAAAAAAAAAAAAAAGCCAGCAGAGAAGAGCAAATTAGGGCCCGAATGGGGGAAATTTTTTCTGATGGTGAATTTGAGAACTGGAGAGAAATCCATCTGGTTCTAGGTTTCCGAGAACGAAGGCATGAGTGTTTTGCACAATGCGAAGCCTTGCAGAGGTCTCATGGGGAAAATGCTGAAACAGCCTTCGAGATGAGAAAAAGGAGATGGAGCTCAGTCCAGGGAATGGCTTTTTGTGCAACAGGAAGGTTTTGTAGCACAGAGACTGGGAGTGACAAGGAAGGCAAAGACCGGTGTGCCCTGAGGGGTGAACACCGTCCTGTGAAGGCCATTAGCTGCCCCGGACACGAAGCACAGCTCCCCAACGCCTGCGAAGAACTTGTTGGAAAAGGCTGAGGGACATCCATTGCTTCATCTCCATGGCCTTGGTCTGGGAGGTGTCGGGGTAGAAGGAGCGCTGCGGTGTCCATCCGGAGGAGCCTGTCGATCCCTCTGGATGCTGCTGGGTCACCTGGGGCTTTGCAGCACTGCTGAGCCGATGCGGGGTGAGCTGCCACCACGAACCTCCTCCTCCCGCAGGGACGCGGTGCCGGAGCCGGGGGGGACCAGGGACACCGAGCAGCCCGGCCATGCAGGGAGGGCTCTGAACCGCCCCGTTTCCATCACCAGGCTTTCACGCCTTTTGGAAAGCGCCCAAGCAAGGAGTTTGAGCTTTGTAGCAACGTTTGCTCCTGGTGTACAAACTGCTGAGCTTGGAAAGAGCAAATGGCCAACGCTTGAGAAGCTACGTCGGATGAAAGCAAGTCTGTGGAGATGACAGTCTGTAGGCCCTTTGATGGAGGGGGCTTTCCTTCCAGAAACAGCCGCCAGCCCCAGGCTCCCCACCAAAGGGTCTGGATGTCCCTGGGGTGGAAGAGCCCGCGGGGTCGGAGGACGGGAGAGCGTCCCTCGGAGTGACTGCCCGTCTGGGCCCCGGCACATGGATAATTAACGATAATGGCTTTTTAAAAGCATAACTCTGGCCTGCTGGGCAGCATGGGCCACTGCTTTTTTTCCCTAAAAGCATTTATGATCCTTCTTTTCCTCTCTCTGTCACGGTTGAAAGTGTTTTCTTTATTTCCCTTGAAATCATAATGTAAATCTGGGAAATGGAAACCCGTAGCCTGGTAGTAATTTTTTTTAAAAGACTATAAATTGGGGAACAGTTAAAATTATATTATTCCTGGCAGCAAAATTCCTTTTTTAATAGATAATTTGAAGTTATTACGTTGGAAGCAGCTTTCCCCACGTGTGTGTGCACGCACGGTGTGGAAGGAGCAGTGCCGAGGGCTCGGGGCGGCTTTCGAGGCGGTGAAGTGCCGGGCGCTCGCCGGAGTCTGCAGGTTTTCAGCCACCATTTTGCAGTCCTAAATTAAGCCCGGGTTTATCAATGGGAGTCTTGCCTTGGGAAGAACTGAAGGATTGGACTTTCCAGTCTTTCTAACAGGGTCTGGTTTTTATTTCTCTTCGCTGTTCTTTTTTACAAGGCTTGGGAGCACCAGTGTTTTCTGCTATGCACCAGTGACAGACGTTTGTTTCCAATTAGTGTTTATTGGATTATTTTAGTCAAAAGTAAGCTTTGTATTAGAGCCCCGCAGTATGGACTCTGTTATTTGTTCACGGGACGGTGTTTTCTTCCTCTGCTTGGTTCTGCATCAGCTTCAGCCTACTGGAAAGCTGGCGCAAGGCAGCATCGCTGCGGACCTGCCCTGAAACAGATGAAACCAGATTAAAAAGGTTGCAGCCTCTTATACGAGGATCTATTCCTGCCATCGGTACGGGCGTGTTTCTGACTCATCCTCAGGCTGTGCCTGGCTTTCTGCTGCCTTTCCCAGGAGCTGGAACGAGCCCTTCTCCGGGGAAGGGGCTGCCGGGCACTCCCCGGGCTGAGTGTCGGCAGGTGAAGCCTGGCGCGGGTGGCTTGCGGCGAGATTCGCTGTAGGTGCGGTTGGGTTTATGGGTGTGCGCCGGGCCGACTAACAGAGCTTTGGGAAAACACGTGGGCAGTGTTTTCTGTAGGTAAAATAATACGGAAGACTTGCGTTTTAAGGCCATCCGGGAACCTGATGAGGTTCAACAAGGGCAAGGGCAGGGTCCTGCACCCGGGGAGGAACAACCCCAGGCACCAACACAGGCTGGGGCTGACCTGCTGGAGAGCAGCTCTGCGGAGAGGGACT